ACAAGAGATGAACAATGGATTTGTCTCTAAAAGGAGAAAAACTCACACCCTGGCACTTTCTCAGAAAAGTACACAAAGGTGCTGCCCCAGACTCGTGAGATTACTTTCAACTTGTTTGAAGGGAGACAAGGAACAAAACCACAAGTTGCTCTGGATTTTGTGAATCTTCTCCAGCTTCCCCAGGTAGAAATTACAGGCCTGCTCTGTTTTGTCACAGATATTTGCAGCCAGAGCCCTCAAAAACGTGGGGCTGTTCTTATGGCATTTTTCCTCCAGTGCAGGCTCTGTGGTGTCCCATCAGTATCTGAAACACTCAAGAAAAACTGTCTAGAAACAGAAATTATTTTCATTTCTAAGAAATGTCTTACACTGTCTTTTATTCAGTTTCTTAAAGCTGGTGAAGGAGGATTTTATGTTCCAAGTAATTTCATTTAGTGTCATAATTACATCTTGATTAATTGTATCCACACTTAAAATTAGGAGGGGTTTTGGTTTTATTTTTCTGATCTGCAGTGTAGATTTTAAAGATTTTATATGACCACAAGTAATGTGAACTGGGAAGAACTGTGATAACCTGCAAACAAAGCACCTTTTGGGACTGAGAGGGGTAAGTGACAGGTGTGACAGGGGCAGGTTTGTCCCTGGGATCTCTCCAGTGACTTTTTGAGGACACAAAGGCTCTGGCAGTTCTTGTGCAGAGAAAAGCATGATGCTGTTACACACACCTCTGCCACTGCTGGCACCAAAACCACCATGCCTGCTATTATTCTTCTAGGAGAGAAGCTCACCAATTTTCCTTAAAAGATAATCTAGACCCTGGTTTGCATTAGTTCACACCCAGTCCTAACCCAGCTTGGAAACACCTTGGAGCAGAATTCTTTAATTTTTTGGCTTTTACCCACCTGATGGTGGTTTATATGCATCCTTTACCACAGCTAGGGATCCTGGATCAATACAAGTAGGAATGAAAAATAACACTGTGTTCTAAGCTGCTGTGACTAATTCCTTGTATTAGAAATATCAAAAAACAATTCAATCCATATTGCAGGATTTTATCTGAGGCCAAGTACTAATTCAAAATTTTACCTGCTTTTCCATGGAATAATAGCAAAATGTATCCCCAAATCTGGTTTTGACTCATTAAACCCTGTTGACAAAATGATTTGTTTTGAGAATTAAATGAAAGCCTTTTCAGAAGAACTCTCCTCAAATGGAAACAAGGAAATCAGCCCTCAAATGTGTCACCCTTGGAAAACCCAACAGGACATTGGGAGACCTGGTTCTCCTGCTGCAGTGCCTGTGCAGAACACGGAGCACAGAGTAAACTGACAAAATAATTGGATTATACATGCACAATTCAGACTTTCAGTTACTGGGTGCTTTCTTGCTCCTGGTTTCCACAGAAAAGTCAGGTTTTTGTTCCTTAAGTCCTTGTGCTGCTTATTTACATATGAAAAGGTAAGTTTATAAAAGAGCTTTCCTATTTTACTACACCTAATAGTTAATAATTTAAATCTGTAGCCATTATCATCATATAGATTGACACAAATGGCATATGGATCATTCTGGGGATGAGGGTTAGTTTCTTTTAAGAGAGAATTGTTTTAGTTTTTGCAGGAAATTAATCAGGGGAATGGGCTTTGTGGAGCATGGAGCAAATCTAATCTGTTCTTTGTTCAAATTTGCCTTGCTCCAATTCCTAGCAATTGTAGACAACATGCTCTTTTGTTCAGGAGCCACTTGTTACATGCATAATTAGAGACTGCAGTAGCTGTGTTTAAAGAAAAACTGTTTTCCAATGTAATGTGTGATCTTGATAATAGTATTTTCATCAAAGGTAGCAATTACATTCATTAAGCTGGGACTGGCAAGGCAGCAAGGAAATTAAGTGGAAGGTGAATAAAAAGCTCCCCGTTTCTTTTTAAAATCTCTGCCTCTTTATAAGTTGAAATGCACCACGTTGAGCTGGAAACTGGAAAATACATACTGAATATAAGGGGGAAAAAGAAAGAAAGAATGAAAGGAAAAAATAAAGTCCTCCTTAACCTTTCTAAATAATGATCCAGAAGATATCCTAGGGACACCTACTATAGATGCACTTTTCAAATTAAAGGGCTTTATTCTACATTAATTTCTTATGCAAGTTTTAAACGAGCTCAACATATGATTCAGGTCTTTAAAGGCTCCAGGGCTCTCTAGGATTAATTCACTGTTCTTTTCACACATGAATTAATTGTTTTGTGTTCTCAAAAACAGCAAACAGCACATAAATCAACCAGTTTGCAAAAAGGCACAAGGCTGGTGCCTTTTGCAAATCACTGAAGTTTACTCTTTACACTCCATTATTATAATATGCAACTTTTAAAGGAAAAGCTGGAAAAGTAGGACATATGTTCTTAATTCTAAGTGGATTTCTTGGATGCATAACTCATTTCAGCAGGCTGATTCCTTGAAAGACCAAAGTTGTGGGGCACTGAAAAGCGGTTCTTCCTGCACGCTAATTGTATTTTTCCCAATTAATAAATCAATTACACGTCACTAATATATTTGCAAAGATTCCCACATAAAAAGAGCTAGTTGTGATGGGTTTATTTTACCCTCTTTTTGCCTTAAACTTTGGAAGAGTGAAATTTTCAGATGGAAAAAGGTGAAACTCTGAAGATGTGAGCGCAGAGCCCTGCGAGGGCCATGCCCAGCCCATGGGCTCCCCCAGACACTCCTGCTGAGCACACACACAGCAAGCTCATTTTTAACCTCCAAAATCCAGTCCTGAGTTTATTCCAGGCACTGTGGGGCTATCCAGTTTTTATCCCAGGCTATTTATCCCAGGCTAAGTGGGGGAAGTGTCTGTCCCTTCCTAGCTTTGCCCTGTGTTGACAGCAAGGGCAGGGCACTGCTGCTGGCACTGCTGCTGCAGATCAGGGCTGAGGCACGATTTTGCAGGAAAATCCCCCAATTCAGGGTCTCAGCCAGCAAACCAAAGCAGGTGACACCTGTAGCAAGGTGAAGTTTAATTTACCAGCACTCAGGACAGGTACTGAGGAGGGTGGGGGCAGGAGCTGTGCTCCCTCCTCAGCAGGGATGTCCCAGCCCACTCCCACAAGGTAAGAGAGAAAACCACAGCCAGAACCCAGCTGCCCGTGACTCCAAAAATAACTGTTTCTCCTTCTGCCCTTCCCAGAAATAGAATCTGAAACCACAGCATCTTGGCCAAATTGGAATTTGCATAGTTCTGCGAAGCATTTCCTTCAGTTAGGAATGATTTAATTATTCTTCACTTCCTCTTCTAGAAATCATTCCTGGATAATGAGGTTAGCATAGAGCAGATATGTTTCAGTCAAGGGATAGATGTAATTTAGTGCCAGAAGGCTTTTACAGTTGAAAAAAAAAAAAAAGAAGAAGAAAAAAAAAAGATTTTTGGACACTTCTAAATAGAAGCAGCAGGATAAAGAAGGTTTGCCATTAAATTAGAACAGTCTGAGACACCAGACCATCGGGTGCTTTAACCCAGTGCTGTGTCAGCCCCTGAAGAATCAGAGCACAACCAGCACGCCCCTGCAGCCCAGATTCTTACACAAGGGTAACAAGGCACATTTTAAATAATTATTAAATAATGGCAAGCTGCATTACTGCCAGAGAATTGTTTATCTCTGCAAATTGGATCGCTGAAGTCAAGGCGCAGTAGAGCTAAAATTCTTCCAGCATTAAATGGAAGATTCGTTGCTGCACCTTCCTTTGGTCCTTGGAAACTGAATCCTGCGTGGCACTAAAATGTGTTTCATGACAAATATCCTACTGAATCCAGCTTTTATTATTCAAGCAACAGTCAAAATGTAACCTGCCTTATCAATCAAATGTTGGCACTGCTGCAATTAAACCCAGAAAATTATTTTCCTTCTGAAGCCTGGCTGAACAGACATTGAGGACCAACTCTATCTTCAGCAGCTCCATTGACCAAACAAGTTCTCTGGAACTTTTCACTATTGAACTATGCTTCCAGAACCTTAACTTTTATTTGTTAATTATTCCTGGATTATTTTTATGTCAGTTTAGCAAATTTCTTCTACAGAAAACCAAGGAGTATCCAGAGAAGCTAATGTCAAACATGTAATTATCATGTCTTTGGGTATGAGCTAAACAAAAGCAGAAAACCTCAGCAAAACAGTATTAAATTAAACCTGCTCTGCTTATACTGAAAAAATTGCATTTAATTTGCATATTTACAATGCAAATTAGGGAACAGAAGAATTTTACAGGGTGTCCTTGAAAACAATTCAGGCCAAAAACATCCAAGACAATTGAAGCAAACTCAGTGTGATGAGAAGATGGATCAGAAAATGATCCTGTCATTGCTTGAGACTTGGCTGAATATTCCTGACTGAAGGCATCAAACAGCCCCTCTTTATCCTCACTAAAAAAGTCACTAAAAAACTTGTTTTTAGTTTGTCTAAGTCCTTCAATGTTAGCAGCTCTACAGTTACTGAGAGAGAATAGTTTCAGAAAGATGTAAATCCAAATGATCTTGAAAGACAAAATATATAAAAATGCTATTACTGTCTAGTGAGACTGCACATATTTTTGATTTATATTTCTAAATATTTCACCAGAAAAAAATGTTACAGCATACACTGCATGTTCCTTTGAACATTAAACAAGCTATTAGGAAACACACTGGTTATTTTTAGCTACCCTGAATACATTCTGGGGGCTGAGGAAAAGCATTTCTTCAGCTTTTTGTGTATCCAGCACCAGCTCAGGGAAGTCAGACAGCTGCTTTCAAAGCAGACTGGGCTTCCAAGTGAGCTTAGCTCGGTAGAAGAACTTGAAATGTGTCTCTCACCAAAAGATTTTCAAGTGGAAATGCAATAATATGTTAATTAGAAAAGTCTTTACACAGCAAAAGGCTCCTAAAGAACAATAACTCTGTAGTTCATGTAAGCCTTTTCTAACACAATCTTTACATGGGGAAAAGCAAATATGAAAGAAAGAACAACAGCATAGAAAAGATGATATAAAATGTTGTATTTGAGTATTTCCCGAGTAGTGATGAAACCCTTCAGTGGAAATCTGCTTTGATCACCAACCAGAACAGAACTAGAGACACCAGACATGACATGACAGAGTCATTCTCTCCTGGTACAAAACCTGCAAGATCTGGTATCAATTTTAAATGACAGATCATTATAACCATGAACTGATACACAAGATTAGCATTTAATCAAGTCAAAAATTAAATTCAGGCACTTTTTAATACATTCTCAATACATGTCTTTTCTTCAGGGAAGCTCATATGCAACATTTGATACTGAAGTTGTTGTTCCAGCACAGACTGGATGGACAAAGAGCATAAAAAGAGAAAAGCCACTTAAAAATACATATTGAGTAGCTAAATACAATATACATATTGAGTAATACAAAAGTAGCTTAATACATAAAGCAGCTTAAAAGTTCAGAAAGCCTCACACTGAGGCTCTGAGCATTGCCCACACCAGCTCTGCAGCCTCTGCCCACAGAATTGCCATTTATGACCTCCCACAAATGCCTGTCCCAAACCAGAACAAGGGCTGGGGAGCACAGGCAGCTCTGAACAGCTCCTGGACAACAGCACAGCACTTCTCAATCCTAACCAAACATCTGAGTTCAGAGCAGCAATGGAATCAGGCTTGAGGGGAGGAAATAATGCAAGGCTGGACAGGGCTTGGAGCAGCCTGGGACAGGGGAAGGTGTCCCTGCCCATGGCAGGGGTGGCACTGGATGAGCTTTAAGGTCCCTTCCAACCCAAACCATCCTGTGACTCTCTAAATTAACTCTCCACAGAATCAGTGTCCAGAGTAGGCAATGCTCCCCACACAGGTACCTGTCCTCTTAAAACAACAAGGAAAGTTACTCAGGGGTTGTAATTGATTTGTGCACATATTCCTCCACAGAATTTTGTATACAAATACAATACATGATTTATTTCTTTCAAAACTCTATACAAAATACAGCATAAATAACAAAGACGTTAAATATTTACAGCTGTAACATTAGTTAAAGGCTTGAGCTTTCTTTATTGAGAAAAAAAGCTCATCAGCTACTGTTGAATAGCTGATGAGGATGTTCAGGTTGTTTCCTGGACTCAGGCATCCCATATCAGACTGTGAGGAATCACATTCATCTCATTTTCTCCTGCTTATTTTTTCAAATGGATACCTGACACGATTCTACACAAAGAGAGAGTCTTTTTACATAATCCTGGATATCCAGCCCTTAACAGTCCTTCAAAGAGCTCTGCACTTTCCTCCACAAAGGATTTGCTTCTGGCACTGTATTGAATCAGTTAAGTATTGCCAGTCCTCAGCCTCACACAAAACTGCAGATGCCAAGCTGAGAGTGTCTCAAACCAGGAGATCATAAAACCAAAACTAAACCCTGTTTTCTGTGGACACTCATGTGAGCAAAGCAGATTAAACCTCAGCAGCCAAGGACATGGTGATCAATATTAACTCAAGCATTTTGCAGTGTGGTTATGATTATTTTTGATTCACAAACAGACTGTGCTGAGAAGAATAACTGTAGTTAAATGTTGTAGTGTCTGTAGTTTTAATTCTAATCTAAATTTCCCCAGCTGTTTTAATTCAGCTGAAAGAAAGCCTGCAAGCAAATCTGAAATGTATTAATAATGATGATAATTAATAATAATATTGCTAGAAGAAAACTTCAGAAACCATCTAGTCTACCTTCCTACTCTTGTATTTTTGAAAATCTCAAAGCTCTTGCTCAAACTGATATGGGAGGGGCATTTTTTTATTGGCATAAGGATAATCACCACAATAATTCTTTGCCCATTAACAGGCAAAGCGTGTATATAGAGGGATTAATTCACTAAAGCAGTTACTTCCCTTTGAAGTCAGAGAACTTTTTAATAGTGCTTTTCATCCTTGCTTGTTTCTTTGTCTAAGGCACTGCTTGTTTTACAAATCCCACTTGTTAAGTGTCACTTGCCCTGGTTTTGCTAGGAAATCCTCTGGGAGTCTCAGCCTATAACATTCTAAGCTCCACTCAGAGTGAATCATCAGTGAAAGGCAAGCTTTAAAAATGAGATTCTTCCAAGTCAGCCAAAACCAGAAAACCAATCCTTCCCTCCCCAAAACACTTGAAACAGATTGCCAATTACAGCAATTAGGATGATTTTTCATATATTAAGCTTCCTGTCTCTTGATTATTAGTTAATTAGCTCTCCAGCACTGAAGAGGTTTCTGCTGTAAATAAAATGTCTAATTTTAGAGTAAACAGAGACAAATAAAAAAAGCAAATACTTCCCAACCCCCTGCCCTTTTTTTCCTCTCTTAAAAAAGGAAAAAAACTGTGCTAGAGAACCACAAAGTTCCAGAAGCAAGGAATTCTAGGCTTTAACAGTTGTAACAGTTTAACAGTACCTCCCTTTAAAGTTTGTGAAATGCATTGAATGTGGAAAGGCCACTGTGAGGTAGTATCACACACTCCCATTATCCAGCTTCTATGTGTCCTTTTGCAGAACTACTAGAGCTTTTTTAACCCCATTTCAGAAAGATTTCAACTCAACCTTTTATGAAAGGAGAACTATAAATAGGCTCTTAGATTAAAACCCTTAACAGCTGAGAAGGGAGGTGGATATTATCCACCTTTCAGGAGTACAAATTGGGGCTGCAAGGGCTTAATTACAGAGATATCCTTAAGAACACACTGAAGGCTGCTATAAAAATGACTCCAATTACAGCAGCTCCACAGACATCACTCCACCTGGGAGAGAGGAAACCACCACTTCTCTCTCTTTGCACCCCATGCTAATGCAGGCAGCACATCCCAACTGCAGCTCCACGCCACACACCAGCTCTGCTGCACGTGGAGAGTCCCATCTCCCAGGTGGATTATCAGGAATGCCACGGATTTGGATTCCTTTGTTTTTACTTCGAAGTCTCCAAGTGGAGATGAACTGCTGGCATGACCTAAGGGAGCTAAATCCACTGCTGGGAAGTCTCTCAGGCAGAAAGAAGTTTGGATTTGAACGTGGAATTCATGGTTTCACATGAATTACTCACTCTCCTGAAATGGGGAATTGGTGGTTTTCCCTATGAATTCACTGTGACGATGTATTCTTATTTATGATGTCATCAATGCCTTCTGTAATTATAAATAAATGGGAAATTCACAATCAGTGTTCAGGGAAATAATTTTCATATAGCATCAAGAAAGTCCTTATGGTTTCAGTACTCCTGTGCTAAGAATTTTGCAATTGTGCTCAACTGGATATTTGAAGTTCCTTCATATATTGTACCTGAAATCAGAAGAAAAAAAAAAACCAACCAAAAAACCACAGTGAATTTATGAAGAGAGACCAAAATATCATCCTAAAGTCCAGTTAGAACCTTCACAATTATGAAATGAAGCTTTACTGTGCAAGTGCTAGCACACCACTGTAATTATTTATATAGTATCATAAGTGTTCATATTTTATTGCCTGTAACAATTAAAGCACTTTTCTGGCTGGCACCACATAATGCAAAGACATTTTCCTGAAAAGCAATTCCTAAATAGCCAACAAAAATGAAGAAGTTCCAAATGCTATTATAAATGAAAACCAAAGGAGAATATTGTTAAAAATATCAAACTGTTGTGTCCAAGGATTATCCTGATAAACAAGAAATCCTTGAAAAGAAAACTCCACATGGATTCAGATCTTAAAGTCAATGAAAGTATTTTCAATTATTTTATTTCTTTTTACAGAGATTTTCTTAACAGAATGGGACACAGTGTTTGTGTCTACATTGTTGGTATCTAATAAAATATTTTAACTAGCCTTGCACATACATACATTTATACCTAAAGTTTTATATCTGAGCCTTTGAATTAGTGTTGATACAAGTCTCAAGGAAAAAACATCCTGAGAAAAAAAGCCAGCCCTTCTCCCTCAAACTTTATCAGCACTAAAGCTCCAAGAGATACTTGGTAAGAAAGTGTCACTCACCTATCTTGCAGTCACGGTAGTACTTCTCTATTGGGTAATTTTTGGTGAATCCAACACCTCCCATCCATTCAATGCATTTACTGGTTGTCAGTGTTGCAACCTACGGAGAGAGTTTCAGAGTTACAGCATTCAACTTCGTGGCAATGGTGGTGAAACTTAAACTTTTTACCTAATTATTAACAAAACAGGGAATAAAGCAGTGACTTAGAACAAGAAGGAAGAAGGATGGGTGTTTTGGTATTCATCATCAGCAAGCCATTTTAGAATAAAAACAACAAAACAAAGGACATCAGGAGTTTACTAATTGTTACAGCAACAGTTTCTATGCTGCCCTGTACAAAAGTCCAGCAGTGGTATCCAACACAGCAATTGCAAAGAGGGAGAAGTCATCCAGTTTTGAGTCATTTTAAGACTCACAGATGTGACCAGCAGAGCTGAAATGGTCACAAATGAACTCTTTACAGTGTCATTTCTCATGCCACAATAAGATTTCTGAGAAAATTAAATCTCTCTAGATAAGTGAAAATATTAATTCACTTTCCTCTTTTAGTGTTGCTGGTTGGTTTTAAAAATTTTATTTAGGGGCATAAGCAGCTTATTCATTGGTGACTTACTTTAGATTCTGTGCATGGACTGAGAAACACAGAATGGTTTGGGCTGAAGGGGATCTTAAAACTCATCTCATTCCAACCCTGCTGCAATGGGCAGAGACACCCTCCACTAGCCCAGGTTGCTCCAAGCCCCATCTGACTTGGCCTTGAACACCTCTAAGGATGTGGCATCCGAGATAAAAGTACATGCAGAGATTTCACAGCAAAGATGAATTAGGAGTTACAGAGTGGGAAACAGAAGCAGCTTCAGCAGCAGTGGAATGAAGGAGTGAGGGAGCTGCAGGTACCTCAGCAGTGAAGTATTTGGCCATGCTGGCCTCCTTGATGGCCGGCCTGCCCGCCTCTACCAGCCGTGCCGCGTTGTAGGTCAGCAGCCTGGCTGCCTCCAGCTGCGTGGCCACCTGGGCAATCTGGTGCTGCATCCCCTGCAACAGCACCACAGCACTCAGACAGAGCCACAGCCCCACTGGAGCAACCAGCAACAGCCACTCTGCTCACCACAGAACGGACCTGCACTCTGAAATAAAAATGTGAAATCCAGGTGGGAAGTAATTCCCTGTTCCTTCTGTGTTTATCACCAGAGGTTGGGAAAACTCCTGGGACACGCAAGTGCTTCCAGGAACTGCAGTCCCATTTTCCCCTTTTCTGTCCTTGGATTCAGGAGCCCTGGGGTTCCTTTTGCCTGCCTGGCTGGAGAGAGGGTTACCTATTTAAACCCAGGAATATAAAGGAAAATTTTATCCCCATCTCAGCATCCTCCTCAGGATTACAAAGGCATGAGGAAGTCAGAGCTGCGTTTGCATTTTGCAGCTGTTCACTGAGACAAAACCAGGTTTGGCTCCCTAATGAGCTTAACCAAGGAAGACTTGTAAACAAGTATTTCTTGAATAAAGTGGAGAACTAGCAAGGTGACAACTCCTTTCTTTGTCCCAGAGGCACAAGACAAGATTTAGAAGCAGCTTAAAGGTACAGAGGACACGACTGAGGAATGGATTCAAGGGGAAGGAAAGAGGTGATGGAGCTCATATCTGAATGGTATTACAGAAGAATGGGTTTATTTAAGAACACCCAAATATTATGATCATTGAAAATGAACATTTAGTAGTCTAAAACACAATGAAATCTTTCATCTTATTAGAACATTAACACCATTCTCTCAGATCTGCAGAAATATATAGGCAGGTCAAAATACCAAAATGATTTGGCAATTATAAATTCCATTTCCCATTCAAAAGACGTAGTTCCAATCATTTCCTAGGTATCTATGAGTGCTTCCTAAAATTTGCATAAATTATGAGTAGTGCTAATGTTCCTTCTCTTCAGCTGAGATGTAGGTTTCTTTTAACAAGAAAATTACTATAGTAATTACAATTATGTAGCTCCCTTATTAAACTATACATCATTTTTGCAACAAAGAGTCTTTTTTGCTGTAAGAAACAGATATTATAATGAAAACTAAATGTCTTTGTACAACACAGGAAATCTAATAATTCAATCAGTTTTCCTCATCTTTTTATCATTTCTAGTGTCTCCAGAAAAAGCCCTTCCCCTACACCTCATGAAAGGGTATAAAAACTGGAGCACATTCAGTATAATGTGATATTAAAACCAGAAGGGAGTTCCATGTGTATTATTTTCAAAGATGAGTTATCAAGCAAAAGGAGTATGTTAATATTTTAAATTTTTCAGTTATTTGTGTGGCACTTGCATAGGCACACAGCACTGAATTGATGGATTTTAAGTGGCAGATGAACATTCATCCAGAATTTTTTTTTGATAAATTCTTAAATATTGAGGAGGAAAGACAAGACATGAAGTGGAACGTGAATTATGCAAATCATAATATTAATTTTACTCTTTTTTTTTTGTGGTCACTATTCTTTCCTGGAGGAAACACCCCATGTGCCCATTAACAAGTACCTGGAAATCAAACACGCTTTTCCCAAACTGGACTCTCTCCTTTGTGTAAGGAACTGTATGGTCAAAACACCCCTGGGCCAGTCCCAACATCTGTGAGGAAAAATAAGGATATTATAGAGAATTCTAGGAGCCAGAATTTTACAGCTATCAGACAAACTGAGGTGAGTTATAATAAAGAAAAGTTTGAGGAACAAACCTATTACATGCCCATTTTTTACCATAGGCAAGTATTTGTGAATACACTACTACTCATTTTTTGAGCAAAACTTATGGGTCAACAGTAATTGCAAAAATATTAAGTAGCTTTTTTTGGAATATTTGTAATTGCATAAGAAAATGACTGTAAACTGAAGATCTATAGATCTACATTACCCTATTAAAGGAAAAATAATCTGAATTATTAATCAAAACTATTTTCATAATCAAAATAATTTCTCATTTTCTAGAGGACACCAGACTGCCAGAATTAGCAATTTAGTTCAGAAGTTAGAAACTTAGTGGAGTGGAAGCAGAGATAACAGTTCTTGCACTATCTTCCAACTCTGCAGAACAATTGTACAAGAATTTAGATCAATTTTGTCTTTCCACAAAGGCACAAGCAGTAGAATGTCACATCAGGCAGCTGAGAAAAACTGCCTTTAATGATGTAGAACAGAAAAAAAACTGATACATAGGAAAACAATAAAAGAAAATATTGCAGTCTGCTGCTAATCAGCCCCATTACCAGATTTGTCATCTCCTCATAGAAATTATAAGGACCAAGCACATCAACTTCAGCACCTGTAATAATATTGCAGCTGCCTTGCACTAAAACCATCTGAAACTGTTTTCAAAGCCACGATTACATTTTATAAGATCTTCATTATCTTTTAAAATGATTACTGCTGCAAAACTAAACTCAATACCACAGGGCTTTAGAGCTGCTGTTCTTGTCAAGTCCATTTCTCTTAATTTGAAGGTGCCAAGAAAGCAGTAACTAAGATATAACAACTACCTGACCTTAACTTTTAATTAAGGTGTAACTTGGAGTAATTAAGAGTAAAATCCAGACCATGTATTTTACTGCCAGAGCCTTTATATTATTTATATCTCTGGGAACAATGGGGCCCACAGCCCTTTTTAAATGCCATATCAGACCAAGTTTAATCAGAGGTAATCTTTAGAAATGACTGAAAAGCCAGCCCAATTATCAGCACAGTGTACTGCCATGTGGAAAACCTCTGTATGCAAACCAAGGCAAAAGATAAAGGAGATGGGTAGTACAGAAATATGGCACAATAAAGTATAAACAAAGAAAATATGGCTTTCAAAAGTAAATTGAAAATATAAAAACTTATCACAAGTTATTTTATTCTGGGGCTGAACCTGATTTCCACTGAGATCAGCAGCATTCTGACATCCAAACTGACTACAGCAAAATACAACATTTTGAAATAATTTCAAGGTCAGTAAATATTTTCCCTTAAGATGCCATACAGTGCAATTCTCAAACACAACAATGAACTGGATCTGCTAGAGAAAGCATTCATTTTAAAAATAAGTTGATTTTTAAAAATAAGTTGTTGGGAAAACATCAGTTAACACTAGGTTACATTTGCCAGCCCCATACAATCCCAGCTGGAAGCATTAATATTATACATTTCAGCGTGTTTAATTTTCCAAAGTTAGTTTTCTTTGTAAAATAAATTTTCATAGTGGAAGACAAGAATGTGGACATAATTCAGTATCAAAAAGTTAACGACCAAAGACGAGCTAATTGCCATTTAATGTTTTTTTAAGTCTGTTACTTATGTCACTCCAGGTGAATTTTCCCACTGGCAGTTGCTCCCATCTTCACCGTGACTTTGCTACGGGAACAGTGACATCTAGTGGCAATTGAGCTTTTAATAAAGTATTTTCTAAACTGCTTTAAATATTCCACAAATTTCAGTCCAAACTCAAATTATATCCTGGCTGTGCTCAGTAATAAAGCAAATCACCCACCTGGGCAGCAATCCCTATCCTGCCAGTATTGAGCGTTCCAATGGCGTATTTATAGCCTTGTCCAACTTGTCCCAGGATATTGCTCTCAGGAACCTAAAAAATAAAACCACCCAATTATTCCTGCTCTATCCTGCTTTGCAAGTACTGAAAGGGTTCACAAGTTTTATCAATTGCTCCCCAAAAGTGAAGGCATAAGACATAAACCACAATTTGATTCCTAGGATACCTGATTAGAGCATTCCCAGATTCACAAGGCTATAAATTGATGATTGAGAAAAACATCACCTACAATACCTTCACGTTGTCAAAGGTGACTGGGCAGGTGGAAGATGCTCGGATTCCCAGCTTGTCCTCCTTTTTCCCCACGTGAAGCCCCTCTGTGTTGCGATCCACTATGAAGCATGTAATTCCTCTGTATCCCTGGGGGGAATTAAAAACAACCAAAAACTGGTTTTCATACTAATATCCCTCAAAATCTACTACCTACATCCAGATTAGGGACAAACCTGATACTTGCCTATTCAGCTGTGCCATTTTTTCCTGGACATATTTTACTATAGAATACTTTCTAGTTTTCCATTTTGCCTTTTAGCAGCAGGAACTTGCCAGCTAAGTCAGAAAGGTTGGAAAAATCTAGGACTGTGAGTCCTGTTACTCAGAACACAACCAGTGCTCTGCTCTCCATCTAAGCAACCATGATCCTGACATTTTTATTTGCCCCGGTTGGAGGAATTTATTAAATTGCTCCCCAAGTCCTCAAGTTTTGTTGGGAAATATTTTTAAAGGTTTGCAGTCAGCTAGGAAAAGGTGCACAGAGTATTAACCTCTACCATCAGATTATTAATATAAAATCCAGTTTCATGTATCAGCAACTGTCACTGAAATGCAAGAATTCTGAAGCAACTTACTAAGGATGGGTCTGTATTTGCCATGACAAAGAAAACTCCTGCATCTTCTGCTAAGCTAATCCACATCTTTGAGCCATTGATAATGTAGTAGTCTCCCTTCTTTTCAGCTCGAGTCTTCAAGGAAAAAGCATCACTGCCAGACCCAGCCTCCGAAAGACAGAAACTCCCTAGCTGTCAAGGGAAGGGAAAAAGCCAATTTAATTTTCACAAATATAAATAAATCCTACAAGGAAAATACTTATAAGCCAGCACAAGTCTCTTAAATTCAAACATTTTAACCTATTGCATTAAAGTAACTGAGCTTCAGCTGTGGAGATTAAGAATAGAAACACTGTGTAATTACACATCTCTCAAAGTCAACTGCTTTACAGTTCTTTTCCACAGTAAATTAAATTTTAATGAAACTAATAAGTGCCCTTCCACTTTTACCTCTCAGCTACTGATGACAGGATGTATCTATATCACCACAGATCTCAGCTCTAACCAGAAAGTTCAACACATTTTCCAGACAGACACACATTAGTCACTGAAAAAAAAAATCCCTCTAATATTATTAAAAAATATTATAGTTTTAATAGTTAAGCAAAGTAAGACTTTGACTCACTGTGTCTTTAGACACCCTGGGCAGGTAAGTTCTCTTTTGTTCTTCTGTTCCATAGGTGGTAAACAACTTATTTGTTAGAGTGTTTTGGAGTTCACACACAAGAGCCACAGCTGGATCAACTTTGGCCAATTCTTCCACTGCCAATATGATTGAAAAAAATGAAGCTCCAGTTCCTCCATATTCTTCCCCAAGCTCAATACTCATCAGCTGAAATGGAAAAGGTGCAAATATATAACAACTAAAAAAAAAAGTGAGGGAGGGAAGACAAGGAACTAAAAGATAAGGTGAAGTATGTGGTATGGGGGAGATGGAAAAAAAATTACAGTAAAAGATGAAGAGTGATAATGTTGTAAAGAAAGTTGTCATGTGATCGACAACTCCAAAATTTTTAATGATTCATTAGGTCATTTGAATTATATCCCTCAATCTTTTCATCTAAAAATATGAACAAGGCACAGATAGAGATTCATAAAATTGTATTACTTTCCAAATAAAAGATTAGGTAAAAGAGTGCAGACCCCTTGCTCAAACAATCCCTGTACAACGGAGTCTTCCATTTTTGCATTCTCGTCCATTTTTTGCACAAAAGGCGCAACTCGTTCCTGGGCAAATTTGGTCACTGAAATGAAGAGAAGAAAGAAAATGTGTAAATATTCCAACAGTCTCCTTGGGGATCAGTATAACAGGAATGTGGTGTTTGTGACAGGTTGTGCACGTGTTCTGGCTCTCCCAGAAAAGTAAGTAGCCCAAGTAACGCAAGGTGTAAAGCACAACTCCCCAAAAAAATTCTCAACATTTGACTAGAAATAATTAAAACAAAATTTTAAGTGAAAATATCCCTTCTACTTAAAACATTTCTGAATTTTAACAACAGAGATAATAGCTACCCATGTCTTTGAGCATGGCCTCCTCTTCAGTGAATGTTTGAAGTGGAGCACAGACAAGCCCATCACTGGCTATGTTTGGCTTAAGTTCTGATTTGAAGGATCTAAAAACACAGGGAGAAACCCTCCAAGGAGCCAAGTGTGCTGGCATGTGTCTTCTCAGCTGTTGGCAACAAACACAGAACATGCAAACAGTTAGATCTGTATGCAGACAGCAACATACAACTTCATATTATATATAATGCTTTTATTCAGTAAATGATGAGGAGATAAAACTTGCATCTAATGTTCAGCTTGAAAGCTTTGGAGAAAATATAACCTCCCCCTCCCCTGTGTCCTAAAAGAAACATCTTTTAATTACTTCCAGTTTTCTTTCTGGAAGTTTACTAACACAAGGTTATCCTAAAAAGTATAAACAAACTTTCTTTTAGTCAATTTTAATGTTTACAGCAAATAAACCCTGCTGACAGTATTTATTTTTATAATGATTTTTGTTGCTAGTGTAACTAATAATTAATGTGTCTTATTTGGTTGATTTATTTTAAAAGCATGGGAAGGAACTAAGTGATTTATGCTTATGCTCCCCATTTCTCCACAATATACAACAATGATTCCAAGAAGCATTGGCTATCCAATCAAAAGAGCAGAGGCTGAGCATTTTACTATGGGGAATAGTATTAAGAATATGTGGCAAAAGTCACAAAAATAAACAGAACAATGGCTTTTGGGAAGAAGCTATACACAGTGATTATCAGGACATAGATAATGTGACAGCTTTGTCCCCCAGACACCTAAAAACTTTTGTGCTCAAAGACTTAATTATCTCCTAGCAGGCTTTAGAAATGTAAGTTTGGTATGAAGGCCAATATGCTTTCCAAACACAGAATAATTTCTTAGGATTTTAAAGGAAGCTGGCATAAAGGATCTGGCTCAAAAAGTAATGAGCCAGCAGTAGCTAAAATGTATTCCTGAAAAGCAGCACAGTTGGACTCAAAATCAGCAGGACAGAACAATGGTTCTGCTCTGCTCTCACAGCTCCCCAAACCCAGCCCACTCTGGGGCTGATGTCCACAGATCTGATCTTTGTTACAGATTTCTGTCACTTTTCTTATGCCAGTCTCAAGTGTGGAGACACAAATATCTCACCATGACAACTGCTGACAGAAACCCCCAGGAGAGATACAGCTGTGCCATAAAGTATATGAAAACACATGTCTGCCAACACACATTTTTGGCAGCACTCACTCTTAACCCCAGAGTGAGGAAGAGACTGGCTGTGCCCTAAGCAGGCGCCTGTTTAGCTCCCAGAACACAGGGCAATTCCACAACACACATTGTGATGGCAGCATTCCTCAAAAAACAGCAGAAACTCTGGGGTCAGGAAGTAAAAATTCCTTTGATCCTTCTAATAATTCCCCCTCTTTCATGTTGGCTTTCAACACTTGTCATCTCCCTGGCTGAAGAACTGATGTAAAACACATCGATGAACTCTTGGAGACAACAAGCAGAAGTCTACTGTGATAAGGAAACTCTGATTTTGGCACAAACAGCTGTGTATAAAATAAAACCCAACAACAACAAACAGCCAGAAGTGGTAACAGAGAAGATAAATATTGCTGTGAACATTCAGTGTTTATTCACATTCAATACCCCTGGTGACATAAAACAACTACTGGTGAGTGGGGCTAAATTCTGAATTTATTTGGATGGCCATCAATAGCTGCAACACTTTCAAATGATGATGGTGTTAATGGAGTCACTGTGGTTCTTCACAGAATAAAGAAAACATTGTTTGAATAGAGATTAAACCCCAGGCAACCATGTTCTGGAAGCAGTCAGCCAGGAATGGATTATTTGCAGAACATGCAGCCATGCTGGGATCACCTGACACCCAGGTGTGCAAACATCCACCTGTGCAAGTCTGTCCTTGGCAAGGTGTGAGAAGGAAAAACCCGAGTATAAACATGCACATTTCTATTTAACACCATGCTGCTTTGAGCAGTGACAGGGCTACAAACCACACAGGCTTCCTGCTCCTTCCACTACTTCATTTCTGAGTACAAAGAAAAGAGGTTTTCCTCCATGGTGGCATAAATAAAGTGAATCAATGGGAATATAAAACATAAAATCATAGAGTAGTCTGGGTTGGAAGACACCTTAAAGCCCATCCAGTGTCACCCCCTGCCATGGGCAGGGACACCTTCCACTATCCCAGGCTGCTCCAAGCCCCATCCAGCCTGGCCTTGGACACTTCCAGGGATGGGGTGGTCAGAGATTGAGTCCCTGGGAAATCTGTGCCAGGGCCTCCCCACCCTCACAGTAATCTGGGATTGCCCCTCCTGAAATCATCCCAGGCTTTCCCTCCTTCCCATCACTTTCCCTGAGAGTGGCAGGGGGATTAAAGCTGGCAACAGCCACACAAAGAGCAGCAACTCACAGGGGAATTTCCAGTGTGGAAATTATGTTTTAGCTCAACATTTAGATTTAAAAACTAAATAAATAATCAATGTCACTACAATATTGTGGACCTTTTTTTTTTTTTTCTTAGAGACCATGTAGTATCACTAATTTCAAGCAGTTATTTAAAGAGAATGTGCATTACTTAAATCCTTGGATGCTGCTTCCATGCCTTTTTTTCCTGCTCTTCCTCTGTAGGTAGTGATTTATGCTCCTACCCGATTCAGACTGCTTGCCCTACTAAACACAAGTTTTTGAGATTTGATTGCTGATAACATTGATCTTTCTGTTTATCTCAATTCTTACTTCCACCTCAGCTCTTTAAAAGATCAGTTCTCCTGGCTTTCTCCTGTTTGTTTTGCAATCTTAAACAAGATTTTAATGCTGTACCTGGCAGGAGCATTAAGATAAAAACAGGAAAAAAAACCCCAAAAACAAAGCAATGTTTTCCTCAGCACACTTTGCTTGCCTTGGTGAATTCTGTATGTATATGGATGTATACTCCTGTATACATCCCAGCTGGTTTCCACACAGCTCCTATTTCCCAGCAGAGCAGCTTCCCAATGGGAAGCTTGCTTTCCTTTATTTCAATTTATTTCCAGAACCACAACACACCCACGAGCTGCATGAGAAGGTCCCGTGCACAGCCAAGGCACGTGTGGCAAAAACATGGGGTCTCTGCACGTCTTGATCACACCTCCAGTGCCACAAGCGTGTTGAGAAAAACAAAGAATACTCGGAATGGAAAGGGACTCACAGGATCCTCCAGGGCAGCTCCTGGTCCCAACAATCCCACCTGGGCATCCCTGGGAGTGTTATCCCAACTCCCGGAGCTCCGGCAGCCTCAGGGCCCTGCCCATTCCCTGGGGAGCCTGGGCAGTGCCAGCCCCCTCTGGGCTGAGACCGGCTTTGATCAGCTCTGATCGGTTTTGATCAGCTTTGATCAGCTGATATCACCTGGGCCTGATACAGAACTAAAGAGACCTCAAAGCGCCTCTGTTGCCAGGACGGTGCTGCGCCCCCGCAACCATTTCTAAGACTCGCAAGAACTTTTCTTAGCACGGACTTGCCCAACACCGCCCCTCCACACACACATTCACAGGGCAGAAGGAGAAAAGGACTTTCCCCCATCACCCCCCACGCCTCGCAGAGCTGCCCCTGCAGCCCGACAGCTCGCGGCCCCACCGCTGGCACCCGCACCCGACACCAGCAGGCTCGGGAGCGCAGCAGAACTCGGTGTAGCTCTGCCGTGCCCCCATTCACCCCGTCCCGCCCTAAAGCGTCACCTTCGCGCAGCCCCTCAGCCAAGCTCCCGCCGCCGCCATTTTAGCNTCAGCAGCGCAGCACCGAGGCTGCTCCCTTGATGTGAAGCCGGGGGACACAGAAATCAGAGGAAACACAGAAATTACAGAATCACAGAAGTCACAGAATTAATGAAGTCGCAGGATCACTGTAGTCATAGAATCAGAGTGGGTGAGGTTGGAAGGAATCAATCCGGTCCCACCTCCCTGCTCAGGCAGAGCCGCCTTAGAACACATGGCACAGGTTCTGGGGTATGTCCAGTGAGAGAGAGACTCCTTCTCTGGGCAGTCTGTTCCGGCGCTGTCACCCGCACTGTAAAGAAGTTCTTCCTCATGTTCAGGTGGAACTTGTGCAACAGTCCCTGCCCCTTGCTCTGGTGCCCTGCCCGTTTCTGGGCCCCGCAGCAGAGCCCGGACCCTGCTCTGCCCCTCCCGGCACCCAGGGACAGCCAGGGCTGAGGGCCCCTCTCAGCTGAGGCTCCTCTCGAGGCGGAACAGCTCCCTCAGCCTTTCCTGGGCACGGAGATGCACCAGTCCCTTCAGCATCTTTGCTGCCCTTCACTGACTGGATGCTGTCCAGAAGCTCCGTGTGTCTTGTCCCGGGGAGCCCAGAACGGGACCCGCGGGTTGCTCGGAGGTTTCCCGTGGCCGTTTCGCTTCCCACTCTGCCGTGGGCCGGGGGAGGAGGTGTGGGATCCACCGAGGTTGTTTGGGGCTCATGACAGGTCACTGGTGGCCACCGACGCTGTGCTTCACTCCCCCTTCCCACCGTCAAACCTCCTTCAGGAGGACCGGGAAGGGCTTGGATGGAGTTTGGAATCCTTCCTGCTTTAATTTATTTGCTACGGAAAAGATGGAACAAAGAACATCCCCCTTTTTTCCATGGATTCCTTAAAAGAAGGTGGGATGCATACAAATGCTCACAGTAATTTTATTCTCGTACTGCATACATGTCCTCATGGATATTTTATTCTCATAATTACTGCAGGATTAGTTCTGACTGTGTGTGTGAAACTGCTGGCTGTACTCTGTGAACTACTTTTTTAGCAGCATTATTTAGGCAGAATATTTCATCCTGGCACATTCTTTGACAGCAAACTTAGCTCACCTCAGTGCTGTGACCACTGTTCAGTCCAGCAGTTGTGCCTGGGTAGAAAACGAGTAACCAGTGCTCTGCTGGTTGTGTGAAGCTGGAGAAGGTGTGGTTGTGTCAGCAGAGCTCGGGTAACACCCGCTGTGATCAGCCCATCCCTGGTGTGTGAAACACGAGCTGGGCTGCTCAGTTTCTGATAATTAGAATTGCATTTTCTGGTTTGCAGGAGTGACACAGCAAGGATCAGATGTGCGTTGTTCTCCCCTGAGAAGGAGCGCTGCTGGCTGTGTAGCTCTAAAAAATACCACATAAAATCACAGAAGTGTTTGAGCACACAAATGGGAGCTTTGGGTCATGTTTAAATTGTGGTGGCATCCCTACACTGGTGTAAAGAAAAGGATGAGTGTTTTCATGATAAATCAATGAGGTAGAGAAAGGAAGTTTTATGCAGTTGATCCCTAACCTGTTTATGAAATTTTATGTAATTTTCTTTCAAAATTAAATGCTTTTTAAAAGCAATCAGTGCAATCAAGTAAGGCTGAGAGAATTGGGATTGTTCAGCCTGGAGCAGGGAAGGCTTTGAGGTGACCTAATTGTGGCCTTTCAGTACATGAAAGGACACAAAAGAAGGAGAGGGAGAGAGACTATTTACAAGAGCCTGGAGTGACAGGACAAGAGGAAATGGTTTTAAACTCAGAGAGCAGGGATAGATGGGACATTGGGAAGGAATTCCTCTCTGTGAGGGTGAGGAGGCCCTGGCAGAGGGTGCCCAGAGCAGCTGTGGCTGCCCCTGGATCCCTGGCAGTGCCCAAGGCTGGGTTGGATGGGGCTTGGAGCAGCCTGGGACAGTGGAAGGTGTCCCTGCCCAAGGCAGGGGGTGGCACTGGATGGGATTTAAGATCCCTTCCAATCCAAACTATTCTGTGATTCTATGAAATAAGTTTTAGTACCTTACCCAAAGGCACACACAGATTCCCTGATAACATGAACCTTTGATGTTGTTTCAAATGGTTTAATTTCAAATTGTTATTCCTTATTATAATTCATGGAAAGTTAGAATGGTGAGGACTCTATGTTACATTGTCCTGTTTTTCTCTTCATATCTTCAATATTAGAGATATCTTTAATATTATAATTCATATATTGATGTCTTTGTTTTATTGCAGGAGACACCAACAAATGGAACACAAATTAACTTAAGCCTACAGGAGGCTGGAAGAGGGTAGGTAGATAGGTACATAAAGATGTGTTCCAAACTAACTGCATGGTGATAATTAATGCTGGGAGTTGAGCACACTCAGGTAAGATGTGAAAGAACATCCTCATCTCGATGCCAAAAATGAACAAACATCTGTAAGTAGCTTTGGATATACAGGAGAAGATATTTAAATATGGTCTGTAACTCAGAAATTGAGTTTCTGTAGGTCACCTAAGTACCTATTAAAAATAAAGAATATTCTTATTGAAATGGTATCATTGTAGATTATTTCTGATTATAATCTGCAGAAATAATGTGACAGACTTGTCTCCTGTCAAATGTATCCCAAGCTCTGTCTTCCCAAATTCATTGTGAATTGAGACTTTATATAGAGATTTGTTATTTATGCTCCCCAAAACAAACCTGACTACTGTTTTCTGAGGAATATTTTAATCATTTCAGTGCAAAATAACGGATGGGATTAAGACTTTTACTCAGGATAGGAAAGTAAAATTTTGGGAGAACTTCCCACTGTGAAACAGTCTAAGGCTTCTTTCTAGCTTTGCTAATCACCAACATTCATTTGTTTCCCAGCATTGCAGTTCCCATAATTGACTGACCCAAATCTGGGGTTTTTTGGAGCCAGATGTTTATTGGGAAACGGTTCAGTGAGTCAGAAGTGCCCTTCATGTGACATCCAGGAAGCAGAGGATGCAGTCTTTGAAAAACTTTTACTGGAAGTGTGATTGTTTTAATAGAATTTAGAGCAGCAGAATGTTAGAGCCCTGTCTTTCAAACACAAATATTTTTCAGGTTCTTTCTTGTAACTCATGAGGGTTGGGAAGAGTAGTGAACTCACATTTCCTTTTTATTCCTTCTAGGGAAAGTGGAGAAGCTGTGCTCTGCTTTTTATCTGATGTGTTGGGGTACATTTTGGAGCATGTTTGCTACTTAGCAGGGAACTAAAATTCAGGTATTACCCTTTTTTTTTTTTAAGGCAGACTGATTTTTATTATTATGTATTTTTCTATTTTAAAATTTTATATACTGTTTTATTATTATGTCATTTACCTGTTGCTGAAAGCGATTTCCTCATAAATTGTATTTGGTGATCTTTAATGAGTTAGAAAACCAAAAACCAACCTTTGACTCATGCTGTGTGATAAAATTCTTCACTTAGAAAAATCCAAATGCAAACCTGAATTTGTTTTAATTAATGCAGCCAAATTAAATGACACTTGTTTTCTGAAAACATTTTCCCTTCTAGGCACTAGAGGTTTTAAATGAAAGATTCAATATGGGGGAAAAGAAGGCAGAACCATTGGATTTTGTGAAAGATTTTCAGGAATATCTGACCCAGCAGACTCACCATGTCAATATGATTTCTGGATCAGTTACTGGTGACAAGGAAGTAGAGACTCTCCAGGGAGGTGAGCTGATTCCAATACCATAAATTTGATTATTCTGAGGGTGACTTCAGTGTTCACAGTCCAGATACTGGTGCAGCTGTTTGGAAGCATTTCTGCTAGTCTTTTTCAGGTCACAAAGGATGTGTATGTACCTTTGTTTTAATCAGGGTATGTTTTTATAATTCTCTATATTTAAAGAACGAGGGCAGAGAGAAGCAAAAGCTGTTTGGCAATTGCTCACAGTGTGACAGATGGTGTCCCACAGATTGTTCACTAAAATCTGTGTTGCATTGTTCACAGCTGGGACAGAAGGTGATCAGAATGGTCTGGATCATCCTTCTGTTGAAGTTTCACTGGATGAAAACTCAGGAATGTTGGTGGATGGGTTTGAAAGGACTTTTGATGGAAAGTTAAAGTGTCGATACTGCAACTACGCCAGCAAAGGAACAGCACGGCTCATAGAGCACATCAGGATTCACACAGGTATGGGATGTTCTGCTCTGCCTGGTTGGGAGGCCTTGGGCTGTTTACTCAGTCTTGGGATTTGCATGTCAGGAGTTGGCAAACTCAAGCAGTGTGAGAGTTCTTAACAATAACTGGATATTGGTGGGATTTTATAGCCTGTTTTTTTAAAGGTGTGCCAGGTACCTATTTAAACCATGCAAATTCCTACTGACATTTATTATTATAAGTAAGTGTATGAGAGTAAAGGTTAGCATGAAGCTTCAATGTAAATTCAAGGGCTCTAAAAATATATTTTAGTTTTTCTATGCTGATGAGAAAAGTGACAAATGTACATGTCTTTACACAGAGATTTATAGGGCCTTTTCTTCCTCTGTCGTTTAGCCGTGAAAATATTCTTGTTCTGCACAACATTCTAGATGTGGAATTAGAAAGCATGGTAATAAGAACAAAGTTACTGGTAGAATACTCAAATGTGAGGACATACTGTCAAGTAAGTGACTGTTAGCAGTAGTAAACAGACAAATTATCAGCTGTGGCTTGTTAAGGAACATTTGCCACCTGAAAAAAACCTGAAAAGCAAAAGCAAAACTCTCATAAAGGTTAGAATATCCTAAACTGTTCTGAAAGTTCCAACTTCATGGCAAATGAGAGAAAACAAAAAAAGATAGGTGTTTGTGAAGTCTGTCAAGTGTATCACACCAATACAGAAGACTTCAGGGTGTTAAGCACAGCAGAAGAAAATTGTGTCTTGCAAAGAATGAAAGTTTTTACAGGTTTTTCAGTCTGGACTGTCCCAAAACCTCCAAATGTCTCTTCCAGTGGTTTTGGGTAGGTGGTGTTTTGGGACTCATCTGTTGTAACTGGGATGTAATTGTAGCTCTCCTCAGGTACAGTTAGTCAGATTCTCACCTTGCTGGGAGCCATTCCTTCTACACAGCAGCTCCCTGGGTGGATTTTGGGGGAGGTGGGGCTCCTTGCACTGGCCCTGCAGTGTTGGTTTGTTTCAACAGGGCATAATGGGATAGGAAATGGCAGCCAACCAGGAATCAGAGATTTCTGAGGTTCAGGTTCTAAAGACCTGGTAAATTCTTCTCTTGTGTCTTCCATAACAAGAAAAGAGTTATTTTGGTTTAGTTTTCCTTGTTTGGTTTGTTTTTTCATTCAAGAAGAGAAGATCCAAGGCCTGAGTGTTGTTTTGCTTGGAAGGCTGGCAGAGGGCCAGGAGATGGACTGCTTGTGCTGTGAAGGCTGGGATGAGTCAGCATTAAAATAGGGCAGTGGCAGCTGACTCATAGCCTCAGAGCAGTGTAAATGAACAGGTACAGCATCCTGGACATCTGCCAAAGGAATTGTGACCCAGGCACGAGCATCCAACCATTATTATTATTATTATTATTATTATTATTATTATTATTATTATTAATTATGTGTAGTCTACTGCAGGATTGATTTCATGCTGAGTCTCACAGTCGGTAACACAGCTCACTAGCTGTGTTGTGCTACGTGTGATGCAAAACTTTTATCTCTGTGTAATGAGTTTAGAATGAGATCACATTGACAAGTTCTCTGTGAATGCAGGGAGTTTGTCAATCTTCTCATACCATTTTACCAAGTCTCCAGATCTTTACCCATCCTTGTGTGTATATATATGAGTACAGGGAGGTGCTCATGGAGAAATCATGGTTTTACTTGGTGCAAAGAAGGTACTTAGAGGTAGCTCAAAAATTGATTTCTTTCCTGTTGGAGAGCCAGTGATGTAGGAGGAATAAAAGAAATCTATTTGGTATCCCAGACTGTGATTCCAAACTGTGGAATGCTCATTGGTCACATGACAGGGATTAGAAACTGAGCTGACACTCTAGATAGGAATGGTAAGATGATCTTCCATTTCAGCACCTGAGCACACATCAGATCCTTTAGGCACTTCTGACATTGCAGACCTGAGTCTGTAACTCCTGGAAGATAAATCTTTCAACAGAAAATCAGAAGTCCTGAAGTGCTGTGTTACAAATGTGTTGGCCTGTTATTATGTTACAAGGTTTTCTGAGTATTTTTAAAGAAGTTAATGTGAGAATCTATAAATTTCATTTAATAGACGAGCAAAGTTCTACATGTGCAAAGGAGATGCTGGTCTCCCTGATCATCAGCCCGTTCCCCATCTGGAAGAGCACACAGCTCTCCAGGGAATACCTGGCTTTTGTTTTCCTTTAGAACTCTTCAGCCACAGGGTCCTTTTTCAAAGCTCAGTTCTTGAGTGGCTGCCTGTGTGCGTGGGTTATTCAGGTGGTAGTTCCAGGATGTTTGGGAGTGGGGATGTTTGGAAGGTCCCAGAAGGATCCCCTCCCTCAGTGTTTAAACAGAGTTACCACGAGGAACAGTAACATTTTGGTGGTATGGACATTCCTGTGTTCCCCTGTGCACTGCTTGGATGAGGGGGAGGTTGGATCCAGTTCAGGGCACTGCACAAACATCACTGCATTCAGTCCTTGGCATTGTTGCTGCAATTCCCAGGCAGGTTGTGCGTTATGTGCAGATGGTCCCTTGGGTGAGGCAGAGCTGTCCCAGTGTTCTCCACTCTCCCAGGATACGCAGCTGAGCTCGAGGCTGGCTGGAGTTTGACGAGCAGCTCACAAAGAGCCGCTCTGTGCTCCACACAAAGCCTTTTCCAGGCACCCTGAGGTGCTGTGGGCTAATCTGTTCTGATTTTCCAGGGGAGAAGCCGCACAGGTGCCACCTGTGTCCCTTTGCCTCGGCCTACGAGCGTCACCTGGAGGCTCACATGCGGTCCCACACCGGGGAGAAGCCCTACAAGTGTGAGCTGTGCTCCTTCCGCTGCAGCGACCGCAGCAACCTGTCCCACCACCGCCGCCGCAAGCACAAGATGGTGCCCATCAAGGGGACGAGGTCTTCCCTGAGCAGCAAGAAGATGTGGGGGGTTCTGCAGAAGAAGACCAGCAATTTGGGGTACAGCAGAAGAGCATTAATTAATCTGAGTCCGCCTTCCATGGTGGTACAGAAACCAGACTACCTTAATGATTTCACCCATGAAATCCCCAATATCCAGACTGAGGCGTACGAGAGCATGACAAAAACGACTCAGAGCGGTGGCTTGCCAAGGGATCCACAGGACCTCATGGTGGATAATCCTTTAAACCAGCTCTCCACGTTAGCAGGACAGTTGTCCAGCTTGCCACCCGAAAACCAAACTCCAGGTTCTCCTGACGTTGTTTCCTGTCAAGACGAAAAGCCTTTCATGATACAGCAGCCTGCTGCACCTGCAGTAGTTTCAGCTGTATCAGCAAATATTCCTCAGAATTCCTCTCCGACCAGCCCTGATTCCCGGCCCACACACAATCAAAGGAACTACAGTCCCGTGGCGGGGCCCAGCAGTGACCGCAGTGCCCACACCAGCACGCCCAGTATCAGCAACAGCCAGCCGAGTACCCCGGCTCCAGCCCTGCCGGTGCAGGACCCTCAGCTGCTGCACCACTGCCCACACTGTGACATGTACTTTGCGGACAATATCCTTTACACCATCCACATGGGATGCCACGGATTTGAAAATCCTTTCCAGTGTAACATTTGTGGGTGTAAGTGTAAAAACAAGTACGACTTCGCTTGCCACTTTGCAAGAGGCCAACATAATCAACATTGACTGAGAACACGCTTTCGTTTAGTTTTTTAACATATTACAGTCTATTTTTCATACTTGCTGATGGAAAGCTTGCACATTCCCATAAGGAATCTTCACATTAATCGGTTCGACAGAGGAGGCAAATTGATTTCTGTGTTCTTGTAAAACTTGCCAGGGAAGTTTTGTATCTGATTCAGTTGCTGTTTTATATGTAGCCTTTAAAAAAAAGCCAAGAGTGCTGTAAGGGTTGGAATGCATTTACATGCTGTGGTTGCTAAATTTAAGTTGCTTGCACTTAATCCCAATAAACATTCTGCAAGTGGAGAAAGCAGAGTGTGTGTCCTGATCCATAGGATGTCATTCCCAGATCATTTAGTTGGCAAGACAAGATATATTATCCATAAAGTACGAAAGGTCAATGCAATGACACATTGTGTAGAGATAGGACAAGGAGGAATGGCTTCATGGTGACAGAGGACAAGGTTAGATAGGACATTGGGCAGGAATTGTTCCCTGTGAGGGTGGGCAGGCCCTGTCCCAGGTGCCCAGAGCAGCTGGGGCTGCCCCTGGATCCCTGGCAGTGCCCAAGGCCAGGCTGGACATTGGGGCCTGGAAGCACCCTGGGACAGTGGAAGGTGTCCCTCCTTTAGGATCCTTTCCAACCCCAACCATTCTGTGACTTTGGAGAAATCCTTAAAAACCTGGCTGCTCAAACAAACAGATGCATTTTTCACATACAAATTCATTTTGATGTAAAAGTTGCTTTAATCTGATGAAGGTTAATAATAGGTTTTTGTTTAGTATAGTCTAAACTCTTGATGCTAGGACTTAAATATTTTAACTATTAGCACAAAACTAGAAGATAACAGGTTATTGTGAATAAAACTAAGGTAGGGAAAAAAAAGCTAAAAGCCTGTCATTCATGAATTATAGAAACAAAAAAGTAAGATACCTTATTTTACCTACACTCTACAAAATTTTACATTGTTTTTCAGAGGAGGCAATTTTAGAGACATAATGTAGAGCCTGTAGAATTAATATATATTCTGTGAGATTTCTAACTGCCTTAAACCGAGCTGTACAGATATTTAAAATTTGCACAATTCGACTTCTGTCCTGCTGATAGAAGTTCTGATAGAAACAAACAAGAAGTTTACAAATTAAAACTCCTTTGTTCAGTTTTATGTTGGGCCAGGCTTCAGCTGAGAGGTTACCTGTATTTTTGAGAGTTGTATAATCCAGTTTATTGGTACCTCTGGCTTTTTCTGGGCTCCAGGCAGGATGCAAAGGAAAACTGGCTGACTATACTGAAGTTGTTTTTAGGAATTGTTGATGCAAATGGTAACTGAAGTTGTTTATTTTGTTTCATAGTGTACACTCATCTTTAGAAGCCCTCAGGCTAAAGGACAGGCACTTTAACATAAACCTGAATAAAACATCTAATTAAAATTAATAATAACTTTATATGCTAGATAAGAATTTGAGACATTAAAAATAAAGGAAGAACTGTTACTTTTCCCATTTAGAACCTGCACTTTTACCTTGGTTTGTCCTACTTAAGACAAATTAAAGCTTCCCTTATATATTCTCCTTTTCCTATTAACATACCATGCTTTGTTAAAAGCAAGGATATTTGATTAATGTTCCACAAGTCAGAGGTTGGACTCTGAATAGCAAATGTTTGGTTTATTCAAATTCATATTGTTATGGGAGCTAAAACTTCCTGAAACCAATGGAAAAACAGTGATCAGGATGAGCTCAATGGAGGAAAACCACCTGTAAAATCTGCCACTGAAGTGGTTCCAGTGTAGTGAAGATGAACAATAACACTGCCACTCTTAAAAATTGTTTAGTTTTCAGGCCTGGTTCAGAATTCATTTTGCTGGATTTGTAAGACAGAATGTTTGCATTTTACATCATGACACTCTATAATTCCAAAGTATTTCATTGTTGCTTTATACATTTTAGATTTATAAGTAAAACTGCAAGTCTGTGTGTGTAAACATCCTTTATTTTAAGGAGTAGAAGCTGATTGAACTGGAATCCAGTTAGAAGTTACTGCTCCTGGACAGGTTTTGGAATCAAATATTTTTCCAGTCAAAGAGGGCAGAAGCTGCAGCTCTCTTTGGATCGCACATTGAACAATTCTACAATTTAAATTTGGCTCAAATATTATGTTAGAATAAGAGACATTCCTCTTGAAGACTTTACAATTAGAAATTTATGGAAGTGGTTTTCCTTGCCTTTTTGATAGATGATGCCATTCTCCTATTCCTAAGCTCTGGCATTTCCAAGGACACCTGTGGACTGGTGTGTTCCAGGGAACACCTTACAGTACTGAGTGATCACAGCAGCCAAGTTCTGCTTGGTTTGTGGTTTTTTCCTTCTTGGTATCATAGGGAGAGTAATTTCCATGTGCACAGATGTGGTTTCTGACCCACTGGGGCTTCTTGGGAGGTTAACATTGGTACAGGCTTTTCTTTGTCTCATGATTTGGTGATTTAGAGAAATGACTCCTGAAACACCATGGCCTTGAGCAAAACTAAGGATAGGTCACTAATGGAGGAGTTGGGAGCAAGAGGAAGCCTGTGAGATCTCATGGAAAAGGGGCCCTTGTTCAGGAGGGGATCCTGTTGTGGGGAAATGTATGTTCTTAATAACAGAACTCGGTATGAAAAACTATCCCCAAGCCTTGCAAATTGTTGTTTGGAAGGATTTTCCTGCTGCTGCCTGGATACCATTGGTTCTGCTCTTGAGGAATTAAGGGAAAGATTAATTGGGATATCTGTGAACGGTTGAGGAATGAAAAACCTCTTTTCCCTGTTTCCTTGGGCAAACTCCTCAGTGCAGAGGTTGTTCTTGGGCAGCAGCAGCTTTGGTGCTCATCCCTTGGCTCTGCAGCAGATCCCTGGGGTGGATCCCTGTGTCCTTCCCAGGACTAGGATTGTTCCCTGATCACACTGTGTGCTCAGTAGTGCCAAACAATGCCCTGACATCTTTGTCCCCTTCTATCAACTGAGGAGCTTTGGAAGGTATACTTTCCTATTTTTAATAATTTATACATACTATGGACTATAATTGAAAGACCAGGGTTGGTACTGGCAAATTCTTTCCAAGTATGATCCCTTGCACAAGCAGGCACTTACCCAGAGTCAGTGAGGGAGACTTGTCCAGGATTCTGGGATTGAGCCCTTAGTTAAAAGAACTTTTCATCTTGAGTCCTCCATGTGCTACACTGCAATTACTTGGTTTGTTTTCCTTTGTTTTTGTTTGTTTGGTTTGGTTTTTTTTAACCCAAAATCCTTATATTCTAAGGTAATAGGTGATTAGCATTTTAACTGTTATTAATGGAAGTTTGGGAAGGAGATGGAATTTTTCCATAGCTCGGTTTTGTTAAGTTTTGTAGTTGCAAAACATGAACTTTGTGGGGGTTTTGTTTTTATTGTCATAGCTTATTTCATAGTTTTGTGGACATTCTAACGTGCACTATTTATAGGACTCTTAATACACATTTACTGTTTTGAGACTGAATATTCCAATGGATATTTGAATATTTGAACATCTTCATTATCTCAGTTAATACTTAAACTGTGAGGGAGGCAATAGAAAACATAGTTGTTTTTTCACAGACACATTTTTAGATGAAGAGGATTTAGACATAAAATGTTGATTGGCATTTTAATATAAAGCTCAGTGCTGGGAGACACTTTCCAGCAGTGTTTTCCAACTAAATAATCTGTTACTGTTTTTTTTGTTCCAGAATGTTTTGGGGGTTTGCTTTTTGTTTCTTTTTGACAAAGGGAATGTAATTTAGAAGTCTTCACTGGCAAGTTTTCTACTAATTTTAAGCATCTTTGAAAATCTAGAGCAAATGGATGTTCTGCTGCAGGAAATCTCTCTCCTGCTAAAGCATTTTCATTGAGCAATCTTTGTGTATGTTCTTCTAAGTACCTACTTTGTTAATAATATCTATTTCACTGTAAAGAGCATACTTTATGCAAAAATGAAACCTGTTAAGAGTTGTAAAATAAATTTTAATGTTAGTGAACGTTTTTGAGATGACAAGGTTAATTCTGAAATAACTCCATCTCGTGTAGTTCATGTTGTGAAGCTTTGCTTTTGTAAGATATGAATAAAATAACACTTTCTAATTAGGTCTCATGTCAATTCTTAATTGCATGTCCTTCCATAGGTGGAGCTGGTGATTTCCCAAGTGCTTGTCCTGGGTTAACTCTCTGATTCTGTGAAATTTAAATCTCAGGATGGTTTGCTCTTGATTAAACTGTTTCTCTTCCATGTCCTGGGGAGAAGAGGCATAGGAGCTCCAGAGGAGGGAGATGTACCTCAGATCTCTCAGCAGCAGTGCTCAGAGTACTGCATTTGAAATACTTTGGACTTCTAAACACCCAACATTCTCTATGTCATTATTTTAAAATATATTTATTTACTAGACTGGTTGCCTCATGTTGGAATGAAGAAATAACACTTGTAGCAGGGTCAGAATATTGGGTTTTCAAAGTCTTTCCTTGCCTCAAGTCTTCCAAAAATTCTGCTTTCAGTTTGTTGAGTTCCTCTGCCAAGCTCTTCATCTCACTTGGGAGAACGTTTTTACCTAAAAGAAAATGGAAGCTGAACTTTTAACTTCACGCTTACAGAAAAAATCACAGAACTACAGAATATCCTGAGTTGGAAGGGACCCACAAGGATCCAGTCCAGCTCCTGGCCCTGCCCAGACACCCCAACAATCCCACCTGGGCATCCCTGGGAGTGTTATCCAAACTCCCGGAGCTCCGGCAGCCTCGGGGCCCTGCCCATTCCCTGGGGAGCCTGGGCAGTGCCAGCCCCCTCTGGGGAGAACTTTCCCTGAAATCCAACCTAAACCCCCTGACACAGCTCCAGCTGTCCCCTCCTGTCCCTGGTCACAGAGAGAAGCCTGAACACAGGCACAAAACTGAGCTCTACAGTTAAGGACACTGAGTTCTTCCTTATATAAATCATAGGAGCAGTGCAGACTGCAAAGCCCCTGTCCTTATTGACTATTAAAATCCCCTAAAATGCTGCTCTGTACTAAATGGGTTTATTAAAGCTGTACTTAATACAGTTAATAAATATTATACTGTTTTTTAAATCTACAAACTTCTACAAATAACACTGATCAGAGTTGTGAAGGTGTTGGCTGGGAGAGGATTCCTGAACAGTTTACCCCAAGGGAATTTCAGGGACTGTTTCCCACTGCCAGTGAGCACCTAGGATAGGTAGGAGAGGTAGGAGAGGTACCTTTGGCATCCTGCATTGCCTGAGAGATGATTCTCCTGCATGCCTGGTCAGCCTGATGGACAGTACTGGCTGCACAGATGGCTCGAGCTGCCTCCTGGCCAGGGCCACCAAGAAGGAAGAAAACAAGCAAACACTTAGAATTTATTTGACTTTTGAAGTGCTATTTGAAAACAACTCATTAGCAGCACCTCAGTCAGCACCCAAAGCTGTGCCCTGAAGCACAGCAGTGCTACCTTTTGCTCTGTGTCCTCCTCGTTTGGCCTCTCTGGATTTTCCAAAGCAGTGGTCAGCAAGTTCATGATCTGCTCACTAAGAAAACAAACAAAGAGTAAACCATGGCAATCAAACAGATACACTTTTTTCTTTTCTAATGATGCCACAGAAAACAAAACAAGTTTTCAGTTAAATTTTTTAGGCAATCAGCAAAATAATCTGCAATGAAAAACAATTACAACTTAAATTATTTTCAGCTTTAGCATTTCAGACAATTTACACGGATTTTCAGTGACAGGGCAGGAATGCTGTGAGTTTTGAGGTTAACTTTGCAGAGGATGGTGGCTGTGAGCCCCCTGGATTCTGTGTAACTGCCTGGATTCCAAAAATCACCACTGGGATATGTTTTACAGATTGTGTAGATACAATAAGAAGCTTCTACCACTGAAAATAGCACTTAGGGAAAACTCTAGGATCAATCCAGTAACGTACTTGTCCTCTGAGATGCAATCAGAACTACTCAGAATGAGGCTGTGCTGCTCCCAAGCGTTTTTCCTGAGATCTGGCATTTCTGTTTTCCTTGCCATTAATTGTATTGTCTGCTCAGACACAGGATCACTTCTGAGGCGATTCCTCTGCAGGCAGCATTCCAGTGGACACTCTAAAAATAACTGGCAGAAGCCCAAGGAATCTAGAAAGAACAGAACCAGACAATTTTATCTTTAAACAGTTCAAGTAACAATTTCTGAGAGCAACATGCAGGAGACAGGCTCTGCATGAATGAGGAGCTTCTGCACTGGTTCTGAACCTGACATGAAAACAAATCTAGACAGGGAACATAATTTTATCTTCAGACAAGTAATGTCTAAGATCAGCACAGAATCATGGAATGGTTTGGGTTGGAAGGGACCTTAAAGCCCATCTCATTCCACCCTCTGCCATGGGCAGGGACACCTTCCCCTGTCCCAGACTGCTCCAAGCCCTGTCCAACCTGGCCTTGGACACTTCCAGGGATCCAGGGGCTGCCCACCCTTACAGCCAGGAATTCCTTCCCAATATCCCATCCAGCCCTGCCCTCTGGCACTGGGAAAACATTTCCCTTGCCCTGTCATTCCATGCCCTTGTCCAAAGTCCCTCTCCAACTCTCTGAGAGCCTCCTTATGTACTGGAAGGTGCTTCAAGGCTGCTCCAGGAAGGGGTCTACATGACCCACCAATTTACAATAGGACAGTAACAAAGTGACATTGATTGCTACTCTATTACAGGTATCCAGCAATCAGAATAACCAACGCTCCAAGAGAGCACTTGAAAGACGGCAGCTGAAGCGCACTGAATTTCCTACAAGCACCCTCATGCCGAAGATCAAGGAATAATTACATTTGCGGGCCAGCTGGTACACCTCGTAGCGCATGCTCTGGTAATAGAAGTTGTCATCCAGCAGGAGGAGAAGCGGCCGGGAGGCGGCTCCGGCGTC